TTAAGTCTCTCGGCAAAATTTTGAAATTCAAGAAGACGGATTCAATATGACGGACGACTTTTGAAATTATGGTCAGATTCTATCAAAATTGGTAAATATATTGGGTTTTCGAGGTCGGAGATTATGATTCCATCGTCAACATTAGGATATTCAAAATGGCGGATCTAATATGGCGGACGAGTTATTTAATTATGATCAGATTCTATTCAAAATGAGTATCTGGGGGTTTTCGCAGTCGGAGATGGTGATTCTTTCATCAAAATTTGGAAATACAAGATGGCAGATCCAATATGGCGGACGAGTTTTGTAACTAAGATCCGATTAAATTCAAAATTTGTATCTAGGGTTGTTTTGTGGTCGAAGATTATGATTCTTTCATCAAAATCAAGAAATTAAAGATGGAGGATCTAATATGGCGGACGAGTATTGTAATTATGATCCGATTCTATTCAAAATTTGTATCTGGGGATTTTCGGGGTCGGAGATTATGATTTTATTCTTTAAAATTGGGAAATTCAAGATGACCGATCCAATATGGCGAAGGAGCTTTGTTATGAAAAGTAGTTTGAAGAATGAAACACGCTTTTATGGATAGCCAAACTCGAGGTCAAACTGATTGGAAGTAGAAAATAAAAATAGTAGTTTGAAATACTGATGAAACACGATTTTATGGATAGCCAAACTAAAAAGTAGAAAACAAAATAATAAGTGTTGATAATTATTCAACTAAAAAATTATTTTCTAGAAATAAATGTATATAGCAGCACAACGTTTGCTGGGTATCAGCTATTGTAATAAATAGTAGTTTGAAAAACTAATGAAAAACGTTTTTATAGATAGCCAAACTAAAAAGAAGTGAGTAGAAAATAAAGGGTATTATTAAAAAATTAAGATATAGAGTGCCGAACTAAAAAGAAGTAAAATATAAATCGAATAGTTTGAAAAACTAAAGAACCCGCTTTTATGGATGGCCAAACTAAAAAGAAGTAGAAATAAAATAATAAGTTGATGAATATGTCTGCAAAAAAAATTTCTAGACAAAATGTCTATAGCAAAACAACGTTTGCCGAGTCAACTACTGTATATATAAATACCCACTATTCAAATAATCAAATCACTCTCTGTAGTAACCATGGTTACTAGGAAATAGATAAACATCTTGATTAAAATTTAAATTGAATATAAGTAGGTATCGGGGATTTACTCAATTTTGGCGTGTCAAATGAGCAAAGTACTCATTTTATTTGCTCTGCTAAGCTTTCAAAACTGTTCCAATTAAATAATAGATAGTAGATAGTAAATCAGAAGTTGAGATATGGACATGTACAGTGTGTCCAGTTTTTGATGCTTTTGCGTGATATCTCAGTTATCTTTCGCGCAGAATCCAGTGAAGCACTCAAACTTTTTTTTGGGGTATGGTTTTGGAAACTTCAAATGGAACACCCTGTATTTCATAAACTCATTAAATTCCTAATTTTTTTTTCATCAAAATGAAATATGATGTATAAATATAAAATTTTCAAATATGCCCCAAAATCACTAAAACATTGAATTTCAATAGTGGGCTATGGATTTTTCATTTAAAAAAAGTTCCAATTGAAGGAATATTCAATTTGATTTTTCCATGAAAAGGGCAAAAACAATCCCAATACTAGTTAACTAAGAAAACACAAAAATAAAGTACCTGATACCAACAAATAAATAGTAATAAAAAGTTCATAATATAGAATAACCTAACCTGACCCATTTTTTTGCTACTCATAATGGCCAGGTAGCCGTGCGGACAGAGTGTCAGTATTCTAATTCGCATTCGCTTGCCGGTCGTGGGTTCAATTCCCAGCGACTGCAGAAATTTTTCTGATGGCCAAAGGAAGTGTTTGGGATCACATGTTAAAAGGTAAGGCCCCCGTCATTCCTAGCTCGCACAATTTTTTAGAATATACAATATACCAAATAATAAAATACACATCATATTGGTAAATGCACCATCATACAACATATTCTCTTGCTCTTGTCTCATGAAGATGTATTCTTACTAGGGTTGATGAGTTGTCACATATTTGTAGATTATTTAATAGTTATTTCATAAATAATGAATTTGCATTACATGGTAGTTCACAACATATTTTGGCCATTCAAAAACCTTTCTGGAATATTTTTTTTTCGATTTTTTTCTATATGTGCTCACTTTTTCTTCATATCAACAAAATACTGTAAAAAGTATTTTCAAATGAAATGATCTAAATTTTATTAGATAATGATATATGAATGATATACCGGGTGGCTACGGAAGTATTGCCTACGGAATATCTCAGTTATTGAATGAAGTAGGTTTGTGAAATTTGGAGCGTCGATATAATGACATAAGAGCTAGAATTTGAGCATATTGACATGTCGAAGTTAACTTCCGGTCTGACCGGAAGTAACATCAACTTTCTTATTTTAAATGGAAACCCTATTTCTTTTTCTTTTCGCTTTATTCAGCATTCAATTCCCTTCCTAATGACATATCACAAGTTGGTATTTAACCAGAAACTAGATCAGAAAAAAAAATATTATTCAAATTCACCGAGTAGGCCGTGGAAGCAAAATGAAAGCCAAAAATTGAAAAGTTGGCTATGGAAACCATACGTCACTTGATAACAGTTGCTACTACTGTGATATTTTATTTTCATTCGTCGGCGTTATAAAAAGCCGCCAAAAGAAATATTGGAAAAATTGGGAAAAAAACAATACTCTGTAGGTCCATAACTTAAATAGGAACATACAACTTTTTCTTGCCTGTACTATTCAGCATAACCATTCCTTTCTAATGATATAATAGAAAGTCATTTTTTGAAATGAAATACGCTTCCACGGCCTACTCGGTGAATTTCAATAATAATTTTTTTCTGATCTAGTTTCTGGTTAGATACCAACTTGTGATATGTCATTAGAAAGGGAATTGAATGCTGATCAGAGCGAAAAGAAAAAAAAATAGGGTTTCCATTTAAAATAAGAAAGTTGATGTTACTTCCGGTCAGACCGGAAGTTAACTTCGACATGTCAATATGCTCAAATTCTAGCTCTTATATCATTATATCGACGCTTCAAATTTCACAAACCTACTTCATACAATAATTGAGATATTCCGTAGGCAATACTTCCGTTGCCACCCGGTATATTTCTGAATTCAGATTGACTGACTTCATTAAATCATGGAAAAAATATGGATCATTACATTTGAAAAAAAAGTTTTTCTTAGCCACTCAGTAATTTTTTGATATAGAGAAAAAGTAAGCACAGATTAAAAAACTTATTCCACAAAATATTTTGAATGACCAAAATTAGGAGGATAGAGGGAGATGACACATTTAAGTGGAACAGCCTTTACATTCATGTACTGTCATTTTCTGCTTTTGCCATCAATTTATTGGTGGTTATGTCTGTCAGTGCTTGTCAGTGTCCATACTCTAGATATACAAGAACATCAAAACAGCAGTGGCAAGAACATTCAGGAACTCTAATATCGGCTAGACCTAACCATGTGGTATATGAACAAACATTCCTTCAATATTTATTGCAATTAATAATGCTTTTGTCAAGCACTCAAATAATCCATTACCTCACCTGTATGAAGGAATTATTATCTACATGACAATAAAGCAACTAGAAATCTTTCCAAATAGTAGAACAATGAATCATGATTTATGAATTTTAATAAGAGCCAAATGATTTCTGTTATTAGGTCTTTTGACATCTGGCAACAATGTGTTTCACTTATTGTGTCATGTCAGTCTCTATGGCAAATTGTGACAGTTTAATAAATAAAAATAGAAAAAATAGTTATTTTTGTATCTAGAGCGTGAAATGCTACTATGGTGATCGAGATCTGATTTTTTTAACGAGGCGTAGCCGAGTTGAAAACATAGTCGAGATGACCAAAGTATTTCGCGCTCGAGTTGCAAACAAAATTTTTTCTACAAACGTCAAAAAATATAGTTCTGAAGGAAAAATATGCTCAACTTGATATAAAATATAGTGTTGAACTGGCTTGAAAGGTCTCCCCCTATCCTCCCTAGGTACGCACGATGTTCCACGAATATAATAGGAATGTCCTTTCATGCGCTCCAAGAGAAAAAACAAAGTTATTGTTGAACATTCAGAAATAAATGATTTTGTGGATGTCTGCTCGATTGAGGACCATAAAGTTGAAATATAAATATCTCATTTATTTTACCTAACAATGCGCGAAGTAGGTACTTCGCGCACTGTTTTACTTCGCGCGTTGTATTGTGCAAGGAATAATGGTAACGTAGGAAACTGAAAAAAAGTGTCACTTTGCAATTTGTTATCGATGCGCGAACCTTGTCATTTTTTGACGTTTGTAGAAAAAATCAATTTAATTAAATTTTGTGCAGATTTTATGTTATTAAAGAACATGATTTTTCATTTGTTTAACAACTGTGATCTGGGTTTTATTCAGACTATTAGACTATTATCAAATATCAGAAAAGTGTACTTGCTTTATTTGCCATGACAAAAACACCACTGGATTTTGTATTTTTTAGGTATACATCATTTTCATAAAGCTGTTCAAAATGTCTTGTAGTGTGAAAATAAAATAATTATGTATCCAATAATTTTGCAAAAAAGTCCCATTATGAACTATATGTATATTATAGTTGATGGTGTGCAAATGTGCTTCCAATTTTTCATGAAAACCCACCTTATTCAATTATTTGTGAAATACTGATTGTTCAGTTTCCAATAGATGAATTTAGTTATCACTGGTGAGGTTCATTATTTTAAGAGGAGGTTCATACCTGATTGAATATTTCTGAAAATAATCTGCTGATACAATTGAAATTTGTTAGTGGCAATTCTGAAATTCAAGAAATATTATTCCAGAATTGTGAGAAGAGATTATATATATGGAATGATCTGGACTCTGGAGACAATTTGAACACACAATACAATCTAGGATCTAACAATTAGTAGCTTTGAATAATCCACCTTACCTATGAAGATGGGTAGGAGCTTTGTTCAACAGTGTATAATACTGTCTTACAAATTCTCTTCCTACACTTTGAGGTGATGGGGGAGCCTCCATTACCATTCCTGATGATATTCTACAACAAACATTACCATTTATTAAACACTAGAATATTATAACTTGCAAAATATAATAAACAATGGATAGATGTGGAGATATTATATTGTTTTCAATCTTTCTAGGTAGACAACTTTTGAGGTTTCTAGATACCTATTAGAAATGAACACATGGATGTGAAGCAAAACAAAGAAATTGTAGATCCATTAATGCCCACATAAAAGTTCATAAGAAATGCGATCATGCTGACATAAACGCCTTGATTTTAAAAATAGTAGGATAAAATTGAGAGTAGCAATGACTGTTTTGCAAAAATCCGAGAATCAAATTAAAAGAAGATCGACCCAAAAACACTTTCTGTCCATGTCGAAATAAGAACCGGCGTGGATTTACAAATCCTCAAGCGTTCAATAAAAAATCAACATACTCACCTTGGCAGGATTCTCTCGAAAAATGAAAACGAACAGTTGTAAAATTTGTGTGGGAAAAACTAATTGTAGACAATTTTATAGAATATCGAAATTGTTTTCAGATAACGTTGAGATTGTTGAGAAGCAAAGCACACGGGGTGTAAACTTCATAAAAATTAGCAAGTTGGTTTGGTTGGTTAATTTCTGTTCTCTCCGCAAGGAATTCAATGAACAGCGCCGCAGCTCAAGGACGAATAATTGGGATTGGCAGTGCTTAGATTGCCGACTGGTCGTCAGTACGAGTCGGCAGGCACAGAACGCTGACAGAACGTCTTCACTAGACGAGGCGGTTCGCACTGTCTAATGTCTTCCCCATTTGTGGGATATTTCATTCAATGTGAATGAAATATCCCTCAAATGGGGAAGACATTAGACATTAGAGGTTGAATTTCAGCATCATTTTCTTCTCAGTAGAGGAGCCTTCAGTGAACTTATGAATGCAAGGAATCAACAGATTCAAGATTCAAAGTCCTGTTGGAAGACTCGTTGTGTATTTTAGATATTTGAAAAAAGAATGTGTAATTCTAAAGGAGCACGTAAACATACAATACGGCTCCCTCGACACTGTGAGGATATGAATGTTTTGTATTTCATAAAGAAGAATTGAACTCTGTGAGTACACCTCTATGAGTAGGTCATCCGGGATCGTAGTCAATGTGTTTTTTCTTGAACCAGCTTGACTTGTTATCGATTTTTGATAATATTTTATTAGGAAGGAACAAACACCTCTATGAGTAGGTGATCGGGGAACGTAGTTATGAGAGAGTTGGAGTGTTGTCATGAACATGAACGTTAACGTAAACGTAGAAATTGACAGCTACGCATGCGCATTTTCCAATTCTTCACGTTTGCGTTGTTAGTGGGCTTACGGGTGTACGTTATCTCACGTACCTTCACGTATACCTTAAATATCAACGTACGTTAACCAAACTATACTCGAAATATGCCGATGAGTCAAAATTATCAAATTTGGGATCCCCAACGAGTTCTGCATCAAGGAGTCCTCTCATTTTGACAGGAATAAATGGTCGAATCTAAACACACAACCAAAAATGACCAATACAAACCGAAAACAAAATGTATTATTACGTTATGATGACAGTGACGACTTCAACTCAATCTAACGACAATACGTAAACGTTATTTTTCGTACCTTAACGTCTACGTGGAGGTCTACGTACAATGATTACTTCAACTCTCTTTTGTTTTTTTTTCACCAGCATTAGGAGACATGCGCAGTAGAGGGAGTCGTGTCACTGTGACACCGATTCCCAAATTCGCCCCCGAGCCGTTCCAAGAGCTCGGAACGAACCATTTGCTCCATGAATGCATGACGTCATATGGACGTAAGTGTGTGCTCTGGAGTCTGGAACGCATCTCAGACTAGACTGTCTGACGGGTGACGGGTTATATCATCAGACCGTCTAGATATTTTGCGACCATTGTCCCAGCAACCCGGAAATTTAGTGTAAATTGGTCGCCTGAAAACGCTTTTGCTCAATGCGCAGGGACCCTCATAGGCATCTTAGGAGACACTAAGGAGGCACCTACGTCATAATGACGTCAAAATTAACTATTTTTGAATTCCTATTCCTTTCACTTCACCCACTTCCACAGTTTACACGTGTATATTATCTTAAGTACTCCGTACATTATGTTATTTCCCGGCAAGTTTGGGGCAATGCAATTTTCTCGCAATTTTCTCCATTTATTGCAAGTCGTCGTACATTGAGATATTTCAGTCATATTTTTTTGTTCATATTCACTAATTTTCAGGTTTTTTGAGCCTTCAATGTACTTTTTAAGGTTATTTGGTGTTTCAGGCCACGTCATATGGAGAAAATTTGTATTTTATCAAGATGCTACGATGAATATTACTGAAAATTTGCCTGGAAATTGCAGGAAAAATAGGACTGGTTCTATTACGAAACTTGCATGAAACTTGCCGTGAAATATCATAGACGCATGCGCATGGTTCGATTAAAAATTGCATTGCATCGAACTTGCTGGTAAATAGCATAATGTACTATGCCCTTTACTTCCACATCCACTCTATTCATTTTTTATTTGAATGTTTCCATTATGTCTTATGTCCTACATTTTTCACATTCAACATTTGTAAACATAAGGTGTTTTTCATTCACATTAACCGACACGGTTGAAGTTGATAATCTCATTTCATTGTGCTTTCCTATGACGTCATTTCCGTATGATTCAATTTTATCTGGGAATGAACATATGAAACCTATCTTACTCGAAAGGATCATAAACTTGTGAATCTCGCGATAAAAATGTCTTTATAATATCTTCTACTTTTCGTCAAAAATAAAATGACACATTGAAGTGATTCCGGTAATTGAATCGGATAAATAAAACGCAACTATTGTACATTTCAGTGGTTTCTGTCGCATTTCTGTCAGTCGTCGGTCTGTCAAGTGTCAACTCTGTCATCTTCAAGTCAACTGTGAACCTAAATAGGGTTATGTTCATTTTTTATTTTGACATTTTTGACCAAAAAAAAAAGGATCCAAAATCTGTATCTTGAGGATGTTGTTGTGAAGTGAAGAGTATGATTATAAATGCATTAAGAGTGTAGATAAAAATATGATTGTGACTGCTACAGTACTTACTTCTTGTTTGAAACTATTACTCATACCTGCATAGTATGTTATTTTCATATTTCCTCATCATTCACATTAAATCTTCCTAGGCGTTATTTTTATGAAGACGTTTTTTGTAGTAGATCAACGGATTTTGAAGTTCACAGAAATTGGTTGGCGATAACTCACAGTTTACCATTGAAACAATGGTACTTCGAAGAGACTTCCCAGTGGACCCTGGATTATCCACCACTTTTTGCATGGTTTGAATATTTGATGTCCTTTATAGCCGTCCTATTGGATCCACAAATGTTGAATGTGAAAAATATTAACTATTCTTCAGACAACACTGTCTTGTTCCAGAGACTTTCAGTGATTTTCACTGATTTAATATACACTTTAGGGGTTTACATGTGAGTCAAATATATAAACACAACCAAGATTTAAATTTTTCTACAATTCTGAAATTAATTTCTTTTGCTTTTCAGGTGTTGTTCAGCTTTACAGAAGAGTTGGCGTAAAGATGTTGTTTTACCAATTTTATTAATAACTAATTGTGGATTATTGATGGTTGATCACATTCATTTTCAATATAATGGGATTATGTATGGAATCTTGTTAATATCTATTGCTTATATGATACAGGTAGGTAATCAAATAGATACATATATCTAATAACAGAATATACATATATCATACAATATACTTTTCCTGAAAAAGTAGCTTCATTTGTACCTAATATATCCTTTTTTCAGGATAGATTCTTATGGTCTGCTTTCTGGTTCACTGTTCTACTCAACATGAAGCATATTTACATCTATATGGCTCCAGCATATTTCATCTATTTACTTAGACATTATTGCATTGGAGGCCCTCTGAATTTTAAAAGCATCTGCTCTGTGGGAACCCTGAAAAATCTTGGTTTGCTGGGATCCATTGTTCTTGGAATATTCATAGCAACTTTTTTGCCATTTCATGATCATATTCCTCAAGTAAGTAAGTAGGTACTTAATAAAATGGATAAGGAGGCCACTTTAATGAGCTTTATCAAATTTCCTGAAGAATCTTCTCTGGTACAAGGGGTACAGAGGAACAAAAAATCATAATTCCAGATCTACTTCTATGAGAATCCACCTAACAGTTTCCTCTGTTATCACTTCATTCTGTGGTTAGCTTTACCAGAAAAATAGTTATTTGTTTAACTAGGCAGCAAAGTAGTAGATTGACTGCCGAGGCTGAATTCATAGACGAGCGTAGCGAGGCTAGGAATCCAGCTAAGGCAGTCAATCTACTTTGCTGCCGAGTTGAACATATAATTTTTTCTCTGATTGTTTATAATGATATGGGAGAATATTGTATTTGCGAATTAATACAATTCACACAATCTCTTTATTCTTCCTTTATAGTGTTCAATTAAAATAAAATTTGATAGAAATCACAGTTGTTGGTTTGACAATCCATGAAATTTCTGACAGTTGTGCGAAAAAATATCAGTATATTCAAATTATTATATAATGGACAGTGATAGCTACCTGGAAGTATACTTACACCTCCATTAATAAGGGAGGTGGCAAAAAATATAGAGTTGAATTTGTTGCCGGAGTAGTCTCGGATGAAATATGAAGGAAATTATAAACGATTTATGGATTTTTAATTTTGCTGATACATATCAATCAGCAAAGTGACCACTTTGCTGCCTAGGCAGCAAATTACCCACTTTGCTGCCTAGGCAGGAAAAGTTATACTTTGCTGGTTGATATGTGTCAGCAAAATTAATATTTGCTGCCAATCGGAGGAAAAATGTATTAATAAGAAGAATATACAGGGTGTTTCATTGGGAAAGGTCAATAATTCAACTGTGGATAGGGGTCACTGAGGTGATTTCAAAAAACCCATGGTTGATGGATCTTCGACTTCTTATAACCAAGATACAGGATGTTTCATCAATTTTGTTCATATCTTCATTGTCTCATAACTTTCCAACCAACCTGTATATATTTTTGAAAATTAGTAGACTTGCTCAATCTACCCTGTGGAATTGATTGAGGCAACAACAAAAGATAAAATCCAGGTCCGGCTTCACTTAAAATTCACAAATTCTTTCTGCCAGAAAACAACACCCTATACATTCGAATTTCTCATTTTTTTTGCCATATCTGAAAAGAACATCAAAATTTCTATTCAAAGATGTGCTGTTTATTCGTGCACAGACAATTTTAACTATTCATATTATGTGCTCAAAATTATATTTTTGCTCATTTTGGGTTACAAAATTGGAATCAGACGAGATTTATTAATTTTATTACTTCCTATTCAGTATACGTGAGTATTACATTTAGAAGGAGTATTTCATATCGTTCTTTGTTCCAGTCTTAGTTGCAGGTCCGTCATCAAAACTATACAGGGCTTTTCACGATGAGCGTTAATTAGATGTTTCTGGCAAACCAGGCAACGGATGAATCTAAAAATTCGAAGGTATGTATAAATTAACATGATCTACACTTCTGAAATCTTTGAAACAATCCGGCGTTGCCGCTTCTACTCGAAAGTAGCAGTAACTTTGATTTTTCAAATGGGACACCCTGGATGCTTCCTGAATCGATTCACAAAGTTCGGGGTCTAGTGGGACTAATAACTGAGATATTTAGAGTGAGAAAAATCGAGATGTTTCAACTTTAGAATTATTTTGCGAAAATATTTATTATTGATCGAAACGGCTTTTATGTCCCTATCTTAACTTTGTATCTATTGACATTTAATCGAAACATTTACAGGATGGTTCATAATTCAGATTTCTGCACCACCCTGTATCTGTTTCAATTGAATATCGAATGGAAAGTTGAGATAGGGACATTGAAGCCGTTTTGACCATGCAATAATAAATAGTGTCAACACAAAACATTTCTAAAGTTGAAACATCTCGATTTTTCTCACCATAAATATCTCAGTTATTAGTCTCACTAGACCCCGAACTTTGTGAATCGGTTAAATCAGCTCTTCAGGAAGCATCCAGGGTATCCCATTTGAAAAATCAAAGTTACTGCTACTTTCGAGTAGAAGCGGCAACGCCGGATTGTTTCAAATATTTCAGTAGTGTAGATTATGTTAATTTATACATACCATCGAAATTTCAGATTTATCAGTTGTCTGGTTTGCCAGAAACATCTAATTAACGCTCATCGTGAAAAGCCCTGTATAGTTTTGATGACGGACCTGCAACTAAGTCTGGAACAGAGAACGATATGAAATACTCCTTCTAAATGTGATACTCACGTATACTGAATAGGAAGTAACAAAATTAATAACAAAAATCATCTAATTAACGCTCACCGTGAAAAGCCCTGTATAGTTTCGATGACGGACCTGCCAACTAAGTCTGGAACATAGAACGATATGAAATACTCCTTCTAAATGTAATACTCACGTATACTGAATAGGAAGTGATAAATAGTTATTTATTATACAAGGGAAAAAAGTAGTAGATTTTAGCTCCAGGTTGTGTTGTCTCCCGACGCGTAGCGGAGGGAGACAAAAAACCGTGAGCTAAAATCTAATATTTTTCCCGTGTATAATACACTATTTTTTTCTGTGACAGAAGGAAGGACGAATCAATATTGAGAAGATATTACATTATTTCGAAATCTGAAAATTATCGACGTGAAATTTCATGTTTTTAACAGTAGGGACACCTGCGTTTTATAGGCATCTTTATCATTCTTTTGAAGTAATCAAATATCTGATGTCACTTCTGTCAGTTCAATTCTGTGATTTGATTTTAAAAAATTGCAAATTCAGTAGTTGTTTAGTAATATACGAAACCGCGAAGTCGAATGGAAGATAAAAGGACTTGCAGTTCTTTCTCGGAGACGGTATTATTGACTCATTTTTCGGAACTATCGCACAACAAAAGCCATTAACAGAGTATATATATGTGATATATATCCGGGAAAGAAGTACTCACTTTTTTCCCACGGGAAAAAAGTAATTTATGAAAAGTGACATTTTATAACCTGCCAACAGAGATGAAATGCCAAACTTTTTTCCCGTCACAGAAAAAATTAATAAATCTCGTCTGATTCCAATTTCGTACCCCAAAATGAGCAAAAATAATATTTTGAGCACATAATATGAATAGTTAAAATTGTCTGTGCACGAATAAACAGCACATCTTTGAATAGAAATTTTGATGTTCTTTTCAGATATGGCAAAAAAAATGAGAAATTCGAATGTATAGGGTGTTGTTTTCTGGCAGAAAGAATTTGTGAATTTTAAGTGAAGCCGGACCTGGATTTTATCTTTTGTTGTTGCCTCAATCAATTCCACAGGGTAGATTGAGCAAGTCTACTAATTTTCAAAAATATATACAGGTTGGTTGGAAAGTTATGAGACAATGAAGATATGAACAAAATTGATGAAACATCCTGTATCTTGGTTATAAGAAGTCGAAGATCCATCAACCATGGGTTTTTTGAAATCACCTCAGTGACCCCTATCCACAGTTGAATTATTTACCTTTCCCAATGAAACACCCTGTATTTTTTTCATTTCTGTTGGCAGGTTATAAAATGTCACTTCACAAATTACTTTTTTCCTGTGGGACAAAAGTGAGAACTTTTTTCCTGGATATATATCACATATATATGTATACACTGTTGATGGCTTTTGTTGTGCTATAGTTCTGAAAAATGAGTCAATAATACCGTCTCCAAGAAAGAACTGCAAGTCCTTTTGTCTTCCTTATATTACTAAACAACCACAAAATTCACAATTTTTTGAAATCAAATCACAGAATTAGACTGACAGAAGTGACATCAGATATTTGATTACTTCAAAAGAATGATAAAGATGCCTACAACGCAGGTGTCCCTACTTAAAATTTCACATAGATAATTTTCAGATTTCAAGATAATGTAATATCTTCTCAATATTGATTCGTCCTTTCTTCTGTCACAGAAAAAAATAGTGTATTATACAGGTGAAAAATATTAGATTTTAGCTCACAGTTTTTTGTCTCTGCCTTCTTTTTTCCCCTGTCTTGGATACATTGACAGCTACTTGCTCTTTTTATTTTGTCATTGGACACTTTATATACTCATGATGTACTTCAATGACACATTTTAATATAGAAAAGAGTTTTTCATATGTAGTGAACAATCATACCAGATGATGGCCACTCAATCAATAATCAATTCAAATACCAGATGTTAAATGTCAATCATTTTAAATTATATTCTTCCTTCTATAGGAATAAATATAGTAAATATCCAATTGAATATGGATAAATCACAAGAAAATCATATTTCTAGTTGACTTTATAGTGAAATATATTTATAAATAATGGTTTGTTCACATTTGCATTATCAAATTCGTGTTTTCCAGACTATCCCATGATAAGTGCATTCTTCAATTGATCACAATTGAAATGGTATCAAATAACTTTTGTAGAATGCCAATTTGGTAGGATGCATGCATCCATATTTTTTCCAGAAAAATCACTAGTACTAGTATAATTGTTTTATCTTACAATTCCATACTGTATGCCTTGGTTTTGCTAAAAGTTCTATCTTGTCCTAAATTTTCCATAGTTCATTCAATCCCTCAATCAATCCTCCCAATTTTAAATACTTTGTATTCAATGCCACCAAAACTCAAGCTTGTATTTTCTCTAGAAAAGCAGAACTTGGTAAGCCTAATATAACAAGGTCTGATACCACCATTACCACAAAATCTATCATATCTATGTGTTTTATTTCAGCAATACTTTTTCAAGGGAAAATCCCAAAAACTGCCTCACAAAAAAATACTTAGGATACTGTTTCCACATAAAGGTTCAGCACCCAATCATATTCTGATGCTCTCAGACTCCATTCAGAGACAAGTCATTTGCCTGGTTGGTGATGTCATTTTTTACTAATTCCTTGACAACATTGGAACACAGTAGGAAAGTCGCCGATCTTCCACTTTCATTTAACTTGCATTGTATGGATGTATG